TCTCTCTCTCTCTCTCTCTCTCTCTCTCTCTCTCTCTCTCTCTCTCTCTCTCTCTCTCTCTCTCTCATTCAACAATTATCTTTTCTTTATAATACATCTGTATGTATTTTTTTTCCTACCCTGACAAATACTACCTACCTTATGGTACATTTTCGGCATTTTCCCCGATGCATTCTCACCCCATTTTTGCGCTAATCCACCCAAAACCCGAAAACCTTTGAGCGAGCTTTCAAGCTTCTAGCCACTGTCATGCTGTAGCTCCTGTTACAAGTTACGTTGGATCAAGGAAAACTGAAAACAAGAGACCAACCTGCTCCATCTGCTCAAAGAAGTCTTGAGGCTCTCCGTCAGTACTGCCAAGTCTGGACCTGATGGCGTATGCATGTTTGAAAGCTTCCAGATGTCGGTGATACGTGAGCACCGTCTTCTCCTTGCTTGACAGATCTTCTGAGGTCATGTTGTAGCCTTTTGCAAGAGAAATTAGACGTTGTCAGTAGAGCTTTTCAAAGGGGCTGCCTGGTCTCGAGGTATGGTGCCGCCCCAAGTGCTAGAGGTTCTGGGTTCAATCCCCTGTAAGGACTGGGATATTTTTCACGTGCACTTGGACTTCTAGTAATTACCCCTAATCTCTGGGTAGTGAGATCAGACGCCTGTGTGCATTGCAGCGCACGTAAAACAAATCCCTTGGCAGTTGGAAATCAGAAAGAGAAGCCTATCGGCGTTGCCTGGGCAAAATTTGTAGTTAAAAATCTACCTAAAGTATTTCAGGATCCCCGCCGGTGCTACAGAGTCTGGGCACTGTACTGAACTTCTTTAGACTCAGACTTGAGATAGAACAAAAACGGAGCACTTATGGGTTACTACCCGTATGCCACGATGTTAAAATCCGTTGTTCAAACCTCAAACCTTCAATCGAGCTCTCCAAAACAAAAACAAAGGACAGAAAACCACATACACACACACACACATATCATGAAAGAGACTTGGAAGAGAAGTCAAAGGTAGAGAGTATGTGGGGTGAGCTGGAAACGACATAAAGATCAGGACGACATGGGCGGAGTTGGTTCCAGAAATACACTTCTTTTTGGGGAAAGGATCGGGGAAGGCAGGCAAACTGTTACACCCCGAGCCGCTTAGTTAACGCCAACAGTGAAAATTGATGATGATGATGATACCGATTCTGATTGTGACGAAAGTGATAATTAGACAAAGAAGATGATGAGGGTGACGATACCGATTCTGAAGGTGACGAAAGTGGTAATTAGACAAAGAAGATGATGATGGTGACGATACCGATTCTGATTGTGACGAAAGTGATAATTAGGCAAAGAAGATGATGAGGGTGATGATACCGATTCTGATTGTGACGAAAGAGATAATTAGAAAAAGAAGATGATGAGGGTGATGATACCGATTCTGATTGTGACGAAAGTGATAATTAGACAAAGAGGATGATGATGGTGATGCCGACGACTAGAATGATATCGATGACAATGACGACTACAATAGTATCTGAGAGTTACTGGTGCTATCAGAATTAGAACTCTTCGCTTGCTGCTGAAGATGGAAAAGGAGTGCTTATGGGAGTTTCCCAGGTGCTGTCAGTTCTCAATTTAACATTTTACTAAGATGGAAACGATGTTACCGACGACGAGGATGATAACAACAATAAAAAGGATTCGAATGATAACTATGATGATAACAACAATAATGGCGATGATGATAATAACGATGATGATGTTGATGATAATGGTGATGACCATAGCGATGATAGTTATGACAATAATTATACTGAAGACAGTGATGACAATAATTTAGATGATGATGGTTGTGATAATGTGATGACGAAAATGATAATAATGTTGATTGTGATTATGAAGATTATGATAATGATGACGACAACCAGAACGACGACATTGATGAGAACCTTCATGATGCTGATGTTGATGAAAACGACCATAATGATGTCTGTTGTTTGTTTGTTTGTTTGTTTTAGTATCCAGAAGCCATCAGTTGTTACCCCTTTGGCTCGGTATTATGGATATCGCAACCTTTCGGCCTTGATTCCATTTTAAATACCGTAAATCTGGGAGAAATGTGGCTTTTCTGCCCACCCCCGGGAGTGAACCCGGACCACAAGGAGTTCGTCACCCGCTCACCGCGCAATCCGATTTAGCCAACTACGTTAGAAAGACGGGCACCATAGTGATAAAAGACACTGACAATATTGTGACGGCAGTATTTTTAGGCTGAAGACGATGACAGTTAGAAGATGATGAGGATAGTGTTGGTGATAGTGATAATAATAATGGCGGTGATGATGATGGTGGTGGTGGTGATGGTGGTGGTGGTGATGATTATGATAATAGTGATGATGATTGATGATGGTGGTGGTTGTGATGATGAATGATGATGATGATGATGAATATGATAATAGTGATGATGATTGATGATGGTAGTGGTGGTGATGATGAATGATGGTGATGATGATGAATATGATAATAGTGATGATGATTGATGATGGTAGTGGTGGTGATGATGAATGATGGTGATGATGATGGTGGTGGTGGTGGTAATGATGATGGTGATGATGATGATGACTATGTTGCAGGACATAGAAACAAAAGACACACTCACAAACCTAATAGGATGTTGAGAATGTACAGCATCACCACGCCGCCAGATGGCAGGCTCGGAGCATACACTGTCATGTTGTCATGGAGACGAAGGTGGAGGGGCGGACTGAGCTGGCATGGTATGACGAGAAATCTTCTTTTGTGATTATCGCATCTAGGACAAATTGGTTAGGTTTAAGTTAGTTTCCCCGAAGAAAGTAGGTCACGTTTCTTTCATAAGTTTGTTAGACTGGTCTATTTTCGTGCAGGTTGCGGGTGTGCCGCTCTGTTATTTGCTTCCTGGATTGTCTTGCATTTACTTATTTATTTCAAGAAAGAGAATGCCTGTGACGTTAGTTGCAGCACTCTCTAAGGGTGTTGTATTAGCCCAGTTTGTCCATTGGAGTGTTAAAAGCGTTTGCGTGCTGAAGTATACAACACGCGATATCAACGGCATTGCGGGACACCCACGTAACCTTGTGCCAAGGTGACAGGTTCAGAAACTACCAATCAGAAGTGAGCTAGTGTGTGTATATGGGCGGTCCGTGGGGAGACTAACGTTAGTTTTACCGAAAAATTAAATTAGCTTTTAAAAATAACAGGGCGACTCAGAGTTTCCTATAGAATAAACAGATTAGGTAAAAAGTAAAAATTAAGGACCTTTTTCCATGCCTTTAGGTGTAGTAAAATATTAGGCTATACCTTTATTTTATAGACCAATCGGAACTAGGTTCTTTTTTCGCCGCTTCATCTTTTACATCGTCGCTTCAACTTTTACATCGTCGCTTCAACTTTTACATCGTCGCTTTATATACATATACAGCGATAACAGAGTCAAAGGTCGACCACGCAGAAGATGAACTGCATAAATATCAGAGACACTGGAAAATACTTTACACGAAAAGAACAGAAGGGACCGTTCCATAGATCTTTTCCTGTCCTGACGCCGAGAGGCATTGCAGGAGTACACAAAAAAGGAAAAAGAAGAAGTAGCGGAGAGAGCCACTAGGCAAGAACACGCATGAGACGATAGAACTGTGACATAAGAGTGCAAATAAAACTTGACTGGTGTAGAAGTTACGGGTGCCCTAACCTCTTTGGAGATAAGTAACAGTTGCCATACAGTTTGATACTTTTCTTAATTCTTATAATTTTATCACAAAACATATAGGTAGCCGCTTCGAGCCGGCAAACTGATCGATTATTGGATCTGTCGGGCAGTCAGTGATGGGAGCGTAGTTCTGTATAGGACCTGTCACATAATGATGTTGATATATTTTACTTCTTCTTTTCTCCACTCCTAGAATGCCTTGCGGCGTGAAGGCAGAGAGAGATCTCTTGAATGAGCCCTTTTGTTCGCTTCGCATCAAGTGTCTGTGATACTTCTAAGGTGCATCTTCTGTGTAGTTGATCTCTCCTTTGTTACCACAGTACCCGAATACCATTGCTGTCTGTGGTGCCCGGTCTAATGTCAATCTTGTTACACGGCCAAACCATTTCATTTGTTGTCTACGTATAAAGTTCAGTAAAGGTTCCGTGACGACTCATCTCCTGATATCACCGTTCCTAAGTCGATCTTTCCTCGTTACACCTAGCATAGTACGTAAACATTTCCTTTCATTCGTGACACTATTACTAATATTTTCTTTTTCTTCATGTTCACTGCCTGTAAATTTCAATAAGTTTTTATGCTTATGGACTTTGGTGCCGTTCCAGGACCTAAGTTTTGCGTGTATATCCGTTTCACGGAACTGGCTTATTTATGTGCGAACTGTTGGTTCCTTGCATCTCAGTCAGATGAATTTCGAAGGAAATTTCGACCCCATCTATGTTGGCCAAATTTCCATTTGGGAACCTGTTTCTAAGATGACCACGGAGAGGTGTAGGTACCGACCAGTGTGAGCCTCAGTCGTGATGTATCAACTCTTATGGTTCAACACCTCTACATCCCATTTGTGAAAGCTACTTTCATCATCATAAACACATTCTGCGGTTAAGTGACGTGGGGAAAAATAATTTGCTATCCAGTACACGCTGGCTGCAACTGTCACTGGTCATGCAGTTAAGGCATAAAGTGTCTTTAATGTTGCCGATCCATATTTTCGCCGCCGTCCTCTTGCTCTTGAAGCTGATCTTCTTAGATGTAGTGCGTGTGATGGTATTTAATCTTTCTGCATTCTAACGAGATGGCCAACCACTTGATCTACTGTTAGTCGGGGAATCTAGTAATTTAATTGTAGGAAAAACATGAGGATAGGAACAATACATTAGCTGACTGAAACCTGCTTCCTGAAGCTCTTGAACCATGTCCTCAGCCAAAGTCCCATTGTAAAACCCAGATGCATCAGCCGCAATTTTCCTGAGAGTTCCAGCCAACTTGGGGTTCTTGAAAGTTTCTCCTTCTTTGTACCAGGTCCCTGTGGCTGGGTTCGTTAAGAGATTTCTGGAGATAATTGGGGATACATTTGAAGAAAGCAAAAAACATTTCTGAAGCAAAATATGTAAACAGTTGGTCGATAAGGGAACAAATTATTGAAGCTGCCGAGGTGTGGCTGTATGGACGAGTAAGGAGAATACCCTAGACAGATGAAAAGAGTAATGAACATCTCATGAGAGAGACTGACTCAGGAAGAGAATTCATTGCCAGCATCAGAACGAGACGGAAAACACTGGAATACATTATGACTGTAAGGAAGTTGGAGGGGAGGAAAGGCAGAGGCAGACTGTGAGAGAAAATGTTGGACAGTTGCACATCCTGGCATGGAAGATCATCTGTGACAGAAGTGACTGAAAGTACACGAATTGGAGGGTTGTGGATAGACATGACCACCAATTGCATACGGCAAGAACAGTTGAAAGAAGAAGTAAAATCTAAACAATCGTTAAGTTGCAATTGGACATTTATGTAGAAGACCTTTATTTTTAGAGATAAATAGTTACTCGATAGCTGATGTGGTGATTGGACGCCTTTACTTCGATTGAACGCCTTTACCTCCCGAGACTTTATTGGTTCCCATTTTAGTCTGCGTCAGCCGGGAGCAAATGGCATTTTATAAAAAGAAAAGAAAAAATTCAACTCCACGCGGACCGATCCTAAATGAGTAGAAGGTAATGTCCTGATCTTTCACCCGTCATCGACCGTCAACAGCACAATAAGGGCACATTATACTTCTGCCCATTATCCCCCAATGAAGCATAGGGCCTCAAGCAACTCAGGCCAAGTCATCCTATTCTTGCTGTAATATGCAGCTCATCCACGTCTTCCCCATCTTGGTAATTATACGCTCTACTACCTAAAGAAAGTAGATTTCTATATACAACAATAAGAAGGAGACAAACACTGTTCTTTGGCCACGTAATGAGAAGAGAGGTATTGGAAAACATCGTGACCACTGAAAAGATCAGTGGAAAAAGTGGTAGAGGTAGACCAAGAGAGAAGATGATAGATGGGCTAAAACGATGACGTGGAGGATATCATCAAGAGAGCTGTTCCAGGCAACCAAGGATCGTGATCTGTGGAGACGCATGAGCGCCTACGCCAGTTGGCAGGGTTCATGGTGATGATTTCCTTCTCTGTGTGTTAGTCTGACTTTGAATGTGATATTTGTTTGTTTTTATTTTGGATCCAGAAACCATTACTTGTTAATCCTTTGGCAATGGATATCGCAAACCTTTGGTCTTGGTTCCATGACGTTGCAGAACCAACCCCAGCATTGGCTGATATGGTTTTTTTTGGCAAATTTACGTGTTGTGGTTTGCCATTGCTTTCAGGACGGTCGGATTCACGATGCCACTGTCGAAACCAATCCAAGGCGTAAGGCCCGCAGCTGGGATCGAACCCGGCACCCCGGCATTACGAAGCGCGAGCTCAACGCCTTAGCCAGAGACGCCGACGATTCCAAGACAGACACGGTAAATCTGAGTATAGAGCCCTTCTAGTTATATTGTTCTTAGGTGTTCTCAACGCGTGTCCTAGACATGTGGTTTGGACATGTGATAATATTACCAGCAGACAATGTACCATAGAGATCCCTGTCAGTTGGACATAATGTAAACAGAGCCATCAGTTGACCACAGACGTGATGGCTAAATGGAATATCCGATGTCGTAAATATCAACATCTAGGTGGCGTATAGCAAGGCTCTCACTCTTTGCCTTTTCAAAACCTAAAGCTGAAAGGCAATACACTAGAGAAGAAGAAGTGTTTTATCCAACGCCAGCGTGTTTTCCTCACCTCTTGATTAACTTAAATGTCTTTAGTTCTCTCCTGAATCATCACATTAGTAATATTATCCTACCATTTAATTTCATTCATTCTGGGCAAGCATAAGTTATTTAATGATGTTTTTAGTTTATTAGCAATTGTTTATGTTGTTCACCATCAATGGGGGCTGCTTGCTAGAGGTTCCAGGTTCAATCCCCGGTAAGGGCTGGGATGTTTTTCACGTGGACTTGGACTTCTAGTAATTCCCCTTGATCTCTGGGTAGTGAGATCGGACGTCCGCGTGCATGGTTGTGCATGTAAAAATCCCTTGGCAGTTGGATATCGAAAAGAGAAGTCTGACGGAACTGTCCGGGCAAAATGTCGAGTTAAAAATATACCCAAAATAGTTTAGGATCCTCGCCGGTGCTACAGAGCCTGTGCACTGTGCTGATCTTCTTATGACTCAGACTTGAGTTAGAAGAATAACTGAGCACTTATGGGTTACTACCCGTGTGCCATGATGTTGATCCGTTGCTCAAACCTCAAACCTACCCTCCATACAGCAGTATTCATTTGACATTTCCGTTAAATAGCCTAAGTGTTTTTATTAGTTTTAATTGCCATTGACTCCCACACATTTGCTTGTGCTCTGGACACAACTACTGTCTTTTGTATTGTTATTTTGACATCTCTATCCTTTGTCTGAACATATGGACGGCAGTTTTAAACTACCTAGCATTCATTAAAAAAAAAGAAACGGAGGCTTTAGATCTAAAATGCCATAAAAAGATTCGCAGAATGCCACAGACCAAGAAGAAAAGAAATACTGGCTTTCTGAAAGATCTCACCACCAAGGAAGATTGGCTAGTAAACAGCATCTTGTCTCAGAAGCTGAAACAGTTTGGCAATATCAAGCGCCACATTGGATTAGAAAGAACAATAGCATAACCATGGTACCAGAAAAAAGAGGAGCAGGGACCTACCAGCACAAGGATGGACAAAGAATATAAGTGTCCTTTTTGGTAGAAACGTGCACGAGGCGAGCGAGCTCTCGAAAGACCGTGTTTTTTCAAGCAGACCGTGATGAGAGCAACGTTCTGCAAAGGACCTACTACTTGGTGATGATGTTAATGACTCCCCCGTCAGTACCTACATTACTGCCTAAATACGTGTATGACTACGTCATAAGGTTATTTTACCTATTTTAATTTATTAACCCCCTCCCTCCCCTTTTCCGTGTGGGTTCCGTGGCCCTATTAGAGGGAAAACAAGAATAGGCCCACTGCCTACCCAAAAGAATGTCGTAATAATCGACTAATTGGGAGCTTCCTTCGAAGTCAGAGTGAATCTGCCTGAGAAGCAAGGAACCAACACTCAGCACACAATGTGTCAGTTCTGTCAAACGGATGCACACGCAACACTCAGGTCTGGAACAGGACGGCAAACCAGAAGTGGACGAACAACTAGAACTTTCCACCAGAGTTTAAAGCTGGTGAACGCAAAGAAGAAGAAGAATTAACCAACGCAGACTTTTCATCAAACATACCTTAAGTTTGTATGTCTGTCCATTGTACCGTCTGCAACTTTAAGCCGTATAGCATTTGCAGTGGTGGCTTCCAAAGGAAATCCATCTTCTGCTAATCTGATTGACGGTTCAAACAGCTCGCTCCATGACAAATGTCCAAGTCTTTCATGAGCCTCCCAAAGGCCCAACACCTCGCCGGGTACAGCCACCGACAACCCACCTGTAGGATAATACAAGAGAAAGTCAGTTGCTAATCCATGTTTTAACATAGTCCGTTTTCAGGAGCTTCATTTCTGAGAGAACATTGTCCTCTAACTACCGTGTGGACCAGATGTGTTTAGCCAAATATTGCATATATCGAATCGAAGCTGTAAATTCCAAACAAAGTTCTAATCATCTCTTTAAGAAAAACGTCGTCATTATAGTACTGGGACCTTTTGGAGAAGCAATTATTGTAAATTACACCGCACCCAATATGTCGTTTAAGGCGACTAAGGGTAAAGTTTGGCTCGGGATTATCGATCGTTTCTCCCCATCTAACAGTACCCAGCAGCATGTATCGGTTCTTGTACTGATATCCTTCTTTGCAATGTTAGAAGGAGGGGATGAATCTTTTTCTTTGTGTCTTCACCTTGACCTAAAATCTGTCCAGCTAAAATCAATTCCAGTGGTCCCCCCCCCCCCCCCCCCCCCATTTATAATGTTCTAATGAAGGTAGCGCATTTTATAAAACAATGAAATGGAAATAAATGTCTTTGATCATGCGACGAGAAAAGGAGCACTGACGAATATCGTGTTGACTGGAAAGATCGCTGGAAGAAGAGGCAGAGGTAGACCAAGAGAACTGATGGTGGATGGCTTAATACAGCGTCATGGAGGAATACCATCAGTGGAATTGGTCCAGAATATCAGACCGAAATCTGTAGAGATGCCTGAACGCCTGCGCCAGCTGGCAAGGCACTTGATGATGATGATAAAGTGATTAAGAGATACATATGATAAGTTGTTGGCTTCGAGTGTGGATTGCTCAGTTTGGATATCCGCGAAATTCTAATTCGTTTTTCTGTCAAACCATCAGTGAGACCTCGATCCAGGGACGCAGGAACGTAAAAGGGTTAAGCTGGATGACCATAAAATCTTCAACAACAAAACTGAACATCCTTTTAACATTTTAAGCTAAACACGGGATTTCCCACGAATTTGTGGGCTAAAAACGGGACATCCCACTAACATTCTGAGCTGAAAACGGGCCATTTCAAGCTAGTAAATTAAACCATCCATTCCACCCCTCTTCCCCCCCCCCCCCCCTTTCCCCCCAACTAGGTAACAGGAGTGAAAGTGTTAATTAAGCGCTCTACAATTGTAACATAAAGAATTATAGTCAAAAGGTGAACGAAACAATTTATTTTATTTTTTTTTATTTATCAGGCATCATGGAACTATAAAATATAATAAGGATTATAGTTATAAATATATATGTAAACTTTATTTATTCTCCAGATTATACCTGGGGGAAGGGGGGATGTGACATCAGGGGCACTACTAAAAAACAGGATTGTCCTTGGGGTAACAGAACAGATGCTCACCCTAACCATACATGCAAATTTACTTTGATAGTAATTATGTATTATTTGTCCAGTTCGAAGGATTCATTTGCTTGCTTCATGTTAGCCAATTGTTAGTGTAGTATACAGCTGACGAGATACAACAAGATAATGTCAGGCAATAAACTGTGCAATCTTATGTTTGTCTCTTCTTTGTTCAAAATTATTTATGCATTTCACATACTACAAAAATAATATACCTTTATATTTAACACACACATACACACACACACACACACACACATATATATATATATATATATATATATATATATATAAATATATATATATATATATATATATATATGTATATATATTTATATAAACAACAACACACACATATTTGTGTGTGTGTCTGTGTGTGTAAATTTATATACAAACCAAGAGAACTTATTGGAGCTAAAGACCCGCTTCTCTCCTGAGCACCCCTCCCCCTTTCTCTCCCCCCCCCCTCCCCTTCTCTCCCCTACACACACACACATCAGCGCCTCTGATCCCGAGGAATGGTTTGACATGTTTACCAAATGTCCGGGATTCATATCCAGTTCCTAAGCAAGTTTTATTTTTATCATGAAAAGGTCCGTTTTTCCAACCTCTTAACACAATCTAAATCTATTTTACAGAATGTTTCTGGTGTTACCGTTCCTGTTCTGTTTAGAAAAAAAGAATTACAGACAGACAGACAGACAGACAAATTCAAGTAGATAGATAGATAGATAGATAGATAGATAGATAGATAGATAGATAGATAGATAGATAGATAGATAGAGAGAGAGAGAGAGAGAGAGAGAGAGAGAGAGAGAGAGAGATAGATAGATAGATAGATAGATAGATAGATAGATAGATAGATAGATAGATAGATAGATAGATAGATAGATAGATAGATAGATAGATAGATAGATAGATAGATAGATAGATAGATAGATAGATAGATAGATAGATAGATAGATAGATAGATAGATAGATAGATAGATAGATAGATAGATAGATAGATAGATAGATAGATAGATAGGAGACAGACGGACGAACGGACAGACATACGCACAGACAGTCAGATATTTAAGCATTCACACACACACACACACACACATACACACACGTACGCACGCACGCACCCTTTGTCTAAACCAGTAAGTGAATCTGTACAGGCTAACTAACTAACCTTCAACGATAGACGCCGTGTTGTTGACAAACATGGTTGAGTTGCTCGCTAGAGGCGCCTTACTGCGGGCTAGAATAGTCAAAACTTTGCCTGTTTTCCTGAAAGTACGAGAGATTAGAACAGAACTGAAATTGTTGGCATCAACAATACAGAAAGAGAGTGATTAAAAGTAAAGTATTCGAAGAACAATTTTTCACCCCTTCAAGCTTACTGGGCATATAAGGCAGGATCTATATTTTGTCGACTGATCGGCACACGGTGTGTGTGATCTTGAAAGCAAACACCTGTAAAAATTCTCTATATGTATACTCCGTGGCGAAAGGATCGAGTCGTTTTCCCCGCGCTCTGAAGGTGGTGGATTTCTTTCCCAGCAGCACGGTTCAGTTCACCAGAGTAACGGAAATACACGGGGATCGTCCCTGGAGCTATGGAGTTCGTGCTCTGTGCGAGGCTCTCGGCTGACAGCTAGCTTCTCCACGAAGAGAGACTGAGATGTATGGGATAAAACCCAGGAAGAAGGAGGAGGAAAAAGAAGACAGAAGAAGAAAAGGAAAAAAGAAGAAGAACGAATAATTATTATAAAGAAGAAGTAGTTATTGAAGTAGTGGTGGTAGTGGAGGAGGTGGAGGAAGAATTTTAAAAAAAAAAAGAAGAAGAACACCACCATCACCAACAACAGCAACAAAAACAAAAATATAAACAATATACAGCCAACCAACATCAAGCAACATGACTGCTACTTTTAAATTGTTTCAACTATTAACAAAAGAACAAGAAAACATCTCTACCTTTCATAGATGGTCCAGAAGTTGTCTCCCCCAATTCCGCTACTATGAATTCTGACGACGCCAATACAAAGCAGCGTTGCCACAGCTGCATCCACCGCATTCCCCCCTTTCTTAGCCATGATATCTCTGTATGTGAGAACAGGGAAGTAGTAGTAGTAGACTTTTACCTCACCAGGACATCACACAAGCGATAAACACCCGATGACACAAAGTGCCACTGTGTGGATGAGGATCACAAGTGGAGAGGTCCCAGAAACCGCGTTCAGCCATTAGACCATATTTATGGCCGGGCTTTATTGTGGCCTAGTCGGCTCTGTGGCTAAGTCGATGCGAACGGGGTGCCGGGTTCGATCCCAGCTGCGGGCCATGCGCTTTGCGTTGGTTTCGACAGTGGTATCAGGGGGCCGACCGTCCGGTAAGCAATGGCAAACTACTAGACGTAAATTTGCATAGATAAACCACACAAAGGATACGCAACTAACCATCATATTGTGGGTGGGGCTTCAAATAAAGAAAAATTGCATCTCACAAGATGTCTAAATATAACAGGGAAGTAAAAAAGAGATTATTTGACACTTGACTCCTGAACACATTTATCGAAACACGAATCCAGCAAGCCCCACACTCCGCGGTCTTGCAACAGCTAGCTTTTCCAACACAGATTAACAGACGAGTTATAAACGCAAACGTTATTCCAAATGTATCTCGTGTCAGACTTATAAATCAACCATAGTACACGAGAGAAGTTAAACACCTGTGATATAGATGTTTGAGAGAGGGTAAGAAAAAAATACTAGAAGAAATAATTTGAGAAATTGAGAATTAAAAGAACTTTTTGAAAATAAGTCTTTTCTCTTGAGCCTAGGATAGGGCAAAGTGCAGATGCCATAGCTCCGCACGTCTGCCAGTTCGTTGCCACCTGCTTCAGGTCTTGGTTGTTCACTGTGCCCATGGTTGAGCCGTCCCTGATGATGGTTCTACGCAGGGTCTCTCTTGGTTTTTCCGCCAAAGTTTGCCTTTCGGTGTCAGTATGAGAGTTTAACTAAGGTTAAGTTCATTGCGAAACAGAAATTGAAATGAAGTGAAAATGAAGAACAACCTGACGTATCAGTCCTTTATCATCAAAAGAAGAGAAGAATCAAATTTATCAAAAAGCCACTAAAACCGGCATAGGACGATTATCATTTCATTGACTGATCAGAGCAAGTTGTTTTTCTACGCCTTAGAACAGGATACAATCGACTTCGCAGCCACATGTACAAAAAATTTAAAATCGACGAATCAGCCATGTGCACGTATGGGTTGGCATCTGAGACAACAGATCATGTCCTCCAAGACTGTCCCAAATACAACATATCGAGGCAAAAAATTTTTGCCAAGAAAACCATCTATGCAAGGCAAACTTTACGGGTCACTGAGTGAATTACAAAAGGCAATGACGTTTATACTACAGACAACATTGCAGATAAAGATAATTTATTGTATGCGAACGAAAGACAAAGAAGATTCTGCCATTCAGGGAGAAGAAATCCAGCTATGCCGTGGAGAGAGCTTACAAAATGTTAAGTGAAAAGACGAAGAGGCAAGGGGATACCTAGAGGAATATAGAACGTGGTAGCCGCCGACAGATTGGGCTTTTAAAAATACCAGCATACCGCGCGACCGAGCTCGTCCAGGCTCGGCTATGTATTATATCCTAATTTACTACATCCAGCAACATAAAGCAAATTATGAGGAAACGAAAGAAGTGGGTTGATAACCCCCTCTATGCCATGACAAAAGGTTGTCAAGACTCTTCTCGCGTGTATTTATCTGTCTCTTTCTTTCATACATCTTTGGTCAGAACATGTTAGTTTCCTTCTTCTCCAAATATGACCTTGCAAATAATGACTGTTCTTCCCCCTCATGTACTGCTGATAATGACTGTTTCTTCCTGATGTTAGTTGTAAGTTGAAAAGGACTGTTTCTTCCCGGTGTTTGTGATAAGCTGATAATGAATGTCTTTCCTGATGTTTGTGATAAGTTGATAATGACTGTTTCTTCCTGATGTTTGTGATAAGTTGATAATGAATGTTTTTTCCATATATTTATGATAAGCTGATAATGAATGTCTCTTCCGAATAAATGTAAGTTGATACTGAATTTATTTTCCGTTTGTTTGTTTTAAGTTGATACTGAATTTCTTTTCCTATTGTTTGTGATAAGCTAATGATGACTGTTTCTTTCAGGCGGACACACTGGCTGGCTCTGCACAACTTGGTGGAATATTGATGCATGATAAGGCGGATGGGGTTAGGGCCTTATGGGAGAGCGTGTACATTTTAGAGGAGTAGATGGATCACCACAGTCTGGTGAGAATAGTGCAGCGGGAGATTGGGTGGAAAGGGGAGGGGGTGGGGGGGTTAGGAGATTATCTGGTCGATATTCAACGCCCAGAGGAAAGGCAAGACGGACGTATAATCAGAATTCTACTGACACCACTGATACTGGAACTCTGTGCTAGCTGCTGAAGATGAGGACGGAGCGCTTAAGGAAATGCCCAGAATTCTGTGATGTCAGTTCTTGAATCAACTCAACTCAACTTTGTTTGTTCCTGCTGTTTGTGATAATTTGTCCTGGAGCCCTCGTCTGTTTCAAAACATCTTGGCTACATTTTTTGACTCTCTGAAGAATTCTGAGGGCTCTTATGCCAAACCACATCTCCGAGGATTCTAGAAATTGTTAGTTTTGTGTATTAATTATTCAGGATTCACAGCCGTAAGTTAAAACTCTTTATATATGACATTCATGTATTCTTTTCTAACCCCCGGTAACATGGCTTTATTATATACATAAGCATTATATAAATGAGAAGCGGATGGCCGAACGGTTGGAACGTTGGGCTCCCAAGCGGGAGACCCGGGTTCGAATTCTTAGTAGGGCTGGGGATATTTTTCTGCCGAAAGCCAAAAAAAAAATAAAAAAATCCTCGCCTGCACAGTCGTGGCGATAGCACCAGCCGTGCGGCAGTAAATTCTCAGACTCAGAGACTTCAGTTATTGACAGTTTTAGCATTTTATAATGAGTAGTTTTAGCCTCTCATATTGGGTTCTTTATCTCTGGATACATCTTGTGTCTGATGCTTTCCGCGTGCCTAGGTACTTATATATCTTCTTTTGTCAAAATCTGCTTGTGCCGCTAGGCGTCGCAGTCTATCAGATGATCGGCAACCGAGCCAGGGCGCGCTCAGTCGCTTCATATGCCGTGATGTTATGAAGTCTCAAGTTGTCCGTGACTCCTTCAATCCATCTTCTTCTTGGTCTTCCCCTGCCTCTTGTTGTTTTGATTTTCATGTTGTATGCTCTTGATGCTGGCATCGTTGGTTCCATTCTCATTAGGTGACCAAACCATTTCATTCTTTGCTTCTCAATAAATTTAACGATGGGTATGGTTCCAATAGTTCTTGTAATCACATCGTTTTTCACTCGATCTCTTCTGGTTTTATTCGCAGCCATTCTCAAACATCTCATGTCACAGGTGGTTAGTCTTCTCTCATGTTCTTTTGTTAATGTCCAAGTCTGACATTGATAACCTAATGTCGGTATAAAGATTGTATTTATAATTTGTCTTTTTATCTCAGCTGGGACAGCAGGGTGTTTTAAAATTGGGGCAAGCTGGTATGCGACATTGTTGGCTTGTTGGATTCTTGCTTCAATCTCTCTGTCTATTTTACCATTGGATGTAAAGATACTTCCCAAGTATTTAAATTCTTGCACTTGTTTTAGTGGATTTAAGAGTTCACAAAAATCTGCTCTAGAAACAATATACGAGATTAGAAAATCCATCAAACGTAACAACAATCAGGGCTCGAGAACAGGTCAGCCATCTCTCACTCATTGTAAACTTATATATACAAAATATATATATATATATATTTGTGTGTATGTGTGTGCGTGTGTATATACAAACACACATAAAACAGTATATGACTGTGCATGTGTTGAAATATCATTTATCAACCACTAAAAGGATCTCATGGCATTACGGTCTTATGATAATGGCGCTGCGATGAGTTACCAGGGGATCTGTCTGACGTTCAACACTCAAGAGAAATGCGAGACGAATGTACAATCAGACAGATACTGGTAAGATCGGAATTGTCCCGTGTACTGTAGTGTCAATTCTTAATTCAACACTCAACAAAAACTTACGTGCCAATCTGAGAACACACTCTAGTACTGGAAGCCACAGAAGCATAACGATAAACTGCTTCCTCTGATCCATTCGTCCGACGCCAGTCAGAAGTGAACTCCTGCCCTTTGTTCACTGTGAGCAACAGAATCAATGTGACGCCAAGAGCTCCAAGAAGAAAAAGAATGATGACCACAAACACGATCCTTGGAACCTGTAAGTGGGAGAACAACAAACATACATCAATCGTTGTGGTTACAAGAAGAATCTGGCTTTCTCACAGTGGCACAAGAGTAGCGACCTAGTTAAAGTTAGTTGAGTATCCTTTACATGACTTGTAGAGCCTACCCAGCATTCTTTGGCTGTTGTGGTTTTTCTAGGCAAAATTTGCGTTCACTACTTTGCCATTCACTGAAGGGTAAACCCTTGGTAAAACTTTCGAAACCAACGCAAGACAAATGTCCGCAGCTGGGTTCGAATCCGGCTACCCGGCATTACGAAGCGCGTTCGCAACGCCTAAGCCGCTGTAATGCCGTGTAATATAATTTTTTCTTAGGAAAAAGTAAATGTGCTTGGTAAAATGCATCCGGGATTATTTACGGGAAGGGCAGGGATATCTTTTTTGTTCAGTGGCGTATGTTGCTCAGGCGTTGCGAGCCCGACTTGTAATTCCAACGTACCGCGATCAAAACCCACTGCTGGCTGCGTGGATTTTTATCGTGGTATGGAGCAGCCTAAAATGGGTACCAGGATGCAGGTCATGGGGAAGTAAAGACTGACGGCATAATGCTGACCACAGTACCCACCTGGTGCCGATTGGTGTGTAAAAATATGGGTGCGCTTTCAAAATGCGCGATGCGCCTGAAGGAGTGAAAAGGGATCTTTACTTTTTAAAAAAAAAATCTTTTTTGTGTGTCCGATACCAACATCTATATTTATTGTTGTACAAAATTCTACCTTATTTTGTCTTTTTGGCTGTAATCTCCAGCTGAATGTTGTTCGTCCATCTCTGGATTTTAGACTTGCTCCAGAGTCGGAGTGTTGCATGTACATCAATTTAAGATACAGTTTACAGTTTAACTATTTGTATGCAGACTGTTGGTTCCTTGCCTCTCAGACAGACGCCCTTCGACTCAGAAGAAAGCCCTTAACCAGTCGAATGTTAGGACTTGCTGGGGAGACAGTGGTTCTATTCTTGTTCCCTCATTAAATGATTCATCCGGGAGCTGATCGCCTTCTTTACCAAATTTGCCTGTTGGGCGCGTAGCCCCCACGTTTCGACGCCTATTATTTCATGTTTGACAACCGTAAGATGATACAACGGACAGACACACAATACGGACAGTGTAATCCTTACCTTACGGCTTCCACAACGTTGTTTTTTTCCACCAAACATTGTGCTTCCCTGTCCTTGTTCGCTGTAGAAAGTCATTCTTTAAACTTTTTTCCTTTTAATGTTATGTTAGAAAAAGGTAAACTTCAAGTTGTCAAACGCTATTTGTTCGAAGGAATTCTTCTTCAGCGTTCGCCGTTAAAGTGCTGTTGACTGATTTCTGCAGCTATCAGACCCACGCAACCAGTTTCAGAAATCCTTACTTCAAGACATTCTTGTTAAGAAGAAGTAGCTCTGTAATGTTTGTCGTAAGATACGAGATGTCATATTTTGGGTTGGTAGGTAAGCTGACTCCTTAGAGATGTCTGGCTTTAACTGTCATTTAAACATGCAACTGTCACGTAGTCACATACTAGCTGTTCAAGGATTTGTAACAGGAAAAATGTCGTATTATGGTTGATATGTACAGAAAAATGTAACTTGTCATTTTGTTAAATATCAGTCGTTGGAAAAAATGACACTTTTTAGAATGAAGAAACTATTGTGTTGTCTTTAATCAATTACTTTTTTTTTTTATGAACTAGCGATAGGTTTTTTCTTTCTTTTTAGATCAGTTGATAGAAGAAATGAAACCATAAATAAAGTAAGTAAAGCACCCTTTTCCACGCCGTTAGGCGTATAGGGCATATAGGGCTAGACCTATATTTGTATAGACCAATCGGCACAAGATGCGTGATGTGGTCAACATCACGCCGGAAATGAAACCATCGGCAATAATATATCAGCTGCTGAAGGACGTGCCTTTTCATAATTTACTTTGAAAAAAAAAAGATGCCCATAAGTAACGGAACATGATCGATATCCAGCAAAGAAGATACAAACAGGACCTTCTTCTTTGCGTGCAGCTGCTTAACGCAAAGACATATAACTGTAAACTTAGAATGGCAACGATATTTTTTCACAGGTGCTTATTTAAAATTAGTTGCGTATCCTTTACAGCGGCGTTTCTCAAACATGTTTCGCCACGGACCCTTGTCGGGCAAAGAAAGTTTCGTGGCATACCTGTCTTTAAAGGGGTTAAAATACTGACAAAAAGAACACCCCCCCCCCCCCCCCCCCCTCCCACCCACACAAAAAAAAAACAAAACCAGTGCAGATTTAATATTTAGTTGGTTGTCTTTCATGCCATAAATGAAACGGTTTTGACTATTTTTTCATTATTTCCTTTATGTTTATGTAAAGTTTAGTTATTTGTACCCGCGAATTACTTGACTTGGTAAGCGCACGTTGGGAATGCATTACAGCCTTTCTGAATATATCTACTTCCAGAACTCTTCTTCACTTCCTTCATGGCATTTCTGTTTTACACTGCTGTCTTCGCTAATCTCAATCAAATTTTGAAAAATTCTTGACTGTTGCCGCGGCCTCTCTGGCAAACGCTCGCGTCACCCCTGGGTGTCGCGGCACCCAGTTTGAGAACCACTGCTTTACAGGACGTTGCAGAACCCAATCCCCAGGCATTTTTTGGCTGTTGTTGGTTTTTAAAGGCAAATTTTACGTTCAGTAGTTTGCCACACTGCTTCTGGACAGTCAGCTATCGGTAACACTGTCGAAACCAACTCAAGACAAATAGTCTGCAGCTGGAATCGAACCCGGCGTTACGAAACTAGTTCGCAACGCCTAAGCTTCATACACCAAATCACAGGTGTTTACGTTAAGAAATAAAGCGGTGAAATCCCTTTACATGTTTTTTTTTCTTTTAAAAGTAGAAATATAAACGTCACACTTAGGCTACATAAATGTAACTACAGAATATAATATAATAATTTGAACGGGCAAGCAAAGTACTGTGAAGTACAACAAAAACTTCTGATTTCAATGATGACTAAGAGAAGCACTATAAAATAGACGTGTAGCGGCAACACACATAATAGTGGCCACGTTTAAGTACGTTTGTGTACGTGTTGGTAGTAGACTGGGCCTCTTAGTGCACCAAGCATCGCGTAGGTACACCCCTCCATCCCCCCCCCCCTCCAATTTCCAGGTATGTACAAGCAAGAGAGAATGTAATTAGATCTGTGTGATGTTTATACAGACGATCGACACTGGGGTGACCTTTTCATGGTTGTCTGTCTGTTGTAGGGTTACGCTAATTATGAAACCAGAAGATTCATTTTGTTCTGCGCTGCCATTTTGTTTTCAACCTTGTACAAGCCAGGGCCGCAGGAATGTGGTGGCTCTGTCACCTGGATGCTCCCTCCCCACATCTCCAATCTAAAAACGTCTGGAAAAACGTGGGTGGGGTGGGGGGGGGGGAGTTATAGGGTTTCAGCCATTTGCTGAGTCCCCCCCCCCCCCCCCCCCCTCCGTCCCCAATAATGTTTTGATAGTGCTCGTCTCCTCTCGCTATAAACAAACCAACGAACATTTTTCCTTCTCAAAATCTATTGATGCCTAAAAGGGTGCAGGTACGCACTACAAAGATTATATTGATGCCAAAAAGGGTGCCTGTACACACATCACAAAGGGTATATTGATGCCTAAAATGGTGCCCGTACACACCACAAAGATTATATTGCTGCCTAAAAGGGTGCAGGTATGCACCCCACACATTATATTGATGCCTAAAAGTGTGTGGGCACACACCATAAACACTATATTGAGGCCGAAAAGAGTGCCGGTATGCACCCTAAGACTAAATTGATGCTTAAAAGGTGCCAGTACGCACCACAAAGAGTCTGTTGATGCCCAAAAAGGTGCCAGGAAGCACCCCAATTAGTCTATTGATGCATAAAATGGTGCCAGTTAATGTGCACCTTTGCGCACCCCACCCCCCCCCCCCAAAAGGCGTGATAATAAATTATTGCCGATGGGTAGAGTTTAGCTCCGGTGAAGAGAAACGCTTTAAATTTATGCAACGGTAGCAATAGTAATGAAATACCCAGCTCCAATGTCGCCATCGCCATAGGCTGTGATTGTCGTGACACCCTGTAGCATTCTACAACACTAGTCGTCGTTATCATCGTCGTCATCATCATCATTATCATCATCGTCGTCGTCGTTGTCATCATCATCGTTGTCGTCGTCATCGTCAGCATAGTCATCATCATCACAGCACCATCATCATCATCATTATCATCATCATCATCATTATCCACATCATCAACATCATCATCCCCACCACCACTGCCACCACCACCATCATCATCATCGTTGAAATCGACAGCATAGTCATCATCACCACCACCACCACCATCATCATCATTATCCACATTATCAACATCATCATCACCACCACCACCATCATCATCATCTTCATAATAATCCATATCATCAACATCGACTGCCTTGCTGACTGGTGTAGGAGATAGTACATCTCCACAATCTGCTCTTTTCAAAATCATGTATATGTTCGTGTGCTCACACTCTTCACTGCCCGAGGGCTGTCAATAATCATCTCGCACTGTCGTCTTCTGGTTTTCTCCACGGATCTTTCCAGTGTTCAGGACATGTTACAATTTCGTTTTCATAATATGACCCTCAAAAATGATGAACGTCTCTTTCAGATATGTGTGATAATTGCTTTCACACCACAGCCTCTTTTAAAACGAAAGACATAAAAAGAGGCAGGAACTAGTAATGAGTAAAAACAAAAATATTTTTAAAAAAAAAAAAGTAAAGGTTCATTTTCCACGCCTTTATTCGCATAAGGCACATAGGGCTAGATCTATATTTGTATAGACCAATCGGTACAAGATGGATGATGTGGTCAGCATCACGCTGGCCGCCTTTACTTCCCGGATCTCTACCTGGTACCCACTGAAGGCTGGGTCGACCTGGGAGTCTAGATCATTTTTAAAAAAAAAAGTCCGGCTCCCCTAGGGAGCGAACCGACGACCTTCCGATCCACACGCTAGCGTCTAACCGCTACGGGAACTAGTGATACAGATTAGAAAAGAGCAAGTGGTGAGAGGGTTTGGCCATGCTGCTGCCGGTACTGTTACTATCTGTCACCGAGAGCTACGTTAAAAAAAATATAAAAAGCAAGAAAAGACCACAAGTGACAGTACAGAAAATGACGACACTCTGCTACAACCCTTTGACTGTGTGACGACAAAAGAAGAAGACAGTTCACAAAATCTCCAGTTACAGAGTAGGATGAAGAGACGTGACCTCCAATATCTTCTCTGGATCAGAAATCTGGAGCACAAGAAGAATAAAACGATGAAATAGTTTTAACAATTTGTTACAGTAGAAGCATACTATAACGGCAGCGACATCGGAAGGTTAATGTAATCGGAGCTAAACTAGTGTACAATTTCACGGTAAGGTCTGAATTAGAATATAGGTATATTGGTGGCTGTGTGGCTGGTTGGTTGATTGGTTGGATGGCTGGTTTGGTTGGTTCCTTGGTTACCTAGTTGGTTGGCTGGTTGGTTTGTTAGTTGGTTAGCTAGTTGGTTGGCCATATGGTTTTTTGATTAGTTGGCTGGTTGGTTGTTGGTTGTTTGGTTGATTGGCTGTGTGGCTGGTTGATTAGTTGGTTGATTGGCTGGCTGCTTGGTCGGCTGGTGGCTGGTTGGTTGGTTGGCTGTGTGGCTGGTTGGTTCTTGCTTGGTTGGATGGTTGGTCTGCTGTGTGGCAAGTTGGCTTGTTGGCTGTGTGGCTAGTTAGTTCGTAAGTTGGTTGAGTAATTGATTGGCTGTGTTGTTGGTTGGTTGGTGTGTTGGTTGTGTGGCTGGCAGGTTAGCTGGTTGGTTTGTTGGTTGGCTGTGTGGCTGGTTGGTTGGTTAACTATGTGGCTGGTTAGTTTGGTTGTTTTTATGGTTGGCTGTGTAGCTGGTTGGCTGTTTGGTTGGTTGGTTGGGTGGCTGTGTAGCTGGATGGTTGATTGGATAATTGGTTGGTTGGTTGGTTGGGTAAATGGTTGTTTGGTTGGCTGTGTGGCTGTGTGTTTGGTTGATTGGTTGGTCGGTTAGATGGTTGGCATGTTGGCTGTGTAGCTGGCTGGCTAGCAGGTTGATTAGCTGGGTGGTTGGTTGGCTGGTTGGTTTGTTAGTTGATTGGCTGGTTAATTGGTTGGTTGACTGGCTGTTCGG